TGATCGCAAGCGAACATCACAACTGTGTGAGACACTTGGGTGCTAACTATTCTCACTCAACTCATCTATCCTTGTTTCCATTTATCCACCTCCATCCAGATCGTTTAGTAAAAAAAGTCAATTCCTCGCGGGCATGGTCAAGGACTTGCACCTGCAATGCCGTCAAGGTGAGGATGAGTATGCGAACAAACCACTAGATCTGGAAGCACATCAATCGAGCAGAAAAGCTCCCTCGCCGCCGCATCCGTACCATACTCTGTAAACCCATGGCCATATTCGATAAACGTGAGGATTATCAGTAGCACATAAGAACAAAACATACGTACACCTACCTACGTACGGCGGCTGCGCCTCCCACGACAACCCGTTCATGCGCAAGATGGGAATAGTATCAGTGGCGGGAGTGTGTACTGTGGTTACCATGAATAGAAATTTCCGTCGACTTCTTCCAAGGCTTCCATGCAGTAAACTCATCTAGGAGATGCAGCAAGGCCGGCAGGGGGCCCTGCGTGCCAGCCCTCCCCCCCCCCCCCCCCCCCCCCCTCCTCTCCCCAAATCCCCCCCCGTTGCGCGCATGCGGACTGCATGCAGGTACAGGCGGAGGGTGCCGAGAAGGAAAGGGATCATCTCAGAAAACAGGTACGCAGGCACTCCATGCTTGTGAACGCGGGGCTAGGGTCCAAGAAGGGAGTTGAGCTGCAAAATGTGACGATAAAACTGTCATTTTGGAGGAGCTGTGGAGGCGATGTCGTCCACTTTCTTGCCGCCTGCTTTGGAGTGGTGGTGGCCTTTGCCATGCCGTATTCCGCTTACGGCTCCAACCGTTGGAGTTTTCGCGCGACGTCGATGCTTGTTCTTCGGACGACGTGGGCTGCAAGTGGTAAGGCGGCGGGAAGGCCGTTGAAGATGGTGGGCAGTCTAATCGCTGATTCAGCGGGGTAGATGGTCCGCGCAAATTTGAGATTTCATGCATTAATGCGCCAGGGCAAGAATTAAGAACGGGAAGGGAGAAGGAGAGAGGGAAAAGGCACCCCCTGTTTGTTGCCCTGAATGGGCAGCTAGATGTTCAGCACCGATGCGATGGAAACGCTCTCCCTTGGATCGATTTGGAGCGGCTAGTTGCCCTGTAGATATTGCAACTGGGGCATGTTAGTAGAGAGGTGATAAGGAGGGGTTCATGATCAATATGTCGACAGCGTGGTTGAGATATTACCATGGAAAGCGAACGCGTTTCCGTCCCTCTCGGGCGTTTTTGTCTGTGTCCTGACATTGCGAGCACGGAACGAAACGTCATCGCCCTGCGGCATCCTTGGAGATGGAGTCGGGATGGGCTTAAGGTGCGGCTGACAATGGCGATTCATTCCGTACTGGGCGTCTCTTGGCCCAGGCCGTCGGGAATGGGGGCTCGTCCTGGCATCCTCGTTGGACGAACAAGGGTTCGGGAAAAGAAAAGTGTGGCAATGAGCGGATATTTTTGGTCGTGGAGATGTGGCTGTTTTGGGGGCCTTAATTGGCGATCTGAGAGGGTCGACGCCGCACGCAAGCAGATGTGGAATGAGCCACAGGGCGGCGCATGAAGACATGGAAATAACTTCTGGGTCAACCCCCGTCAACTCACTTGGAGGCTGCACTGCATCGGGCGAGCTCTCCAAGAAGGTAGGGACGAACTATTGGGCTTGGTGAGTGGAGATGAGGCAGCCCGGAGATGGTTTCTGGCTCTGGCTTTGTGACTGGACTCTGCTTCGTGATTGCTGGGAAAAAAGTTCCTCTCGGCAGTTATCCAGGAGGTCAGCTGAAGCCGGTAATTTCCTTGGCTGGTTCGCTGTCGTATCGACATCGTTCTCGTCTTTCTCAGCTGATGCGAGGCTTGGACACGATCTTGTGTTTCTGGTCAGTCGAGCCGAAATGCGCGAGGTGGCGTAAGGTAAATCAAACGTCTTGCGGAGGGACTGTCGCGGATCTCAGGAGACGCTCGGAATCGGCAGGCCGGCGCAATCCCGCGACACGTTTGCAGTTTAACCTTCAGCTGGAGGACAGGTGTTGTAATTTGGACAGGGCTGGTTTCGTGAAGGATCCCCGAAAGGAAAACACTGACCAGGTCCCTTGAACAAGAAACTGGGTACCAAGAGCAGCGAAAGACTCGAGAGGACTAAGACTGACAACCCTGAAGCGCATTCAAGGTTGACCTGCTGTTTAGCACAGAAACCCACCAAGTTTAGTGTGAGTTGTGACAACCTCGGGGATCCCTACCCGGGTGCCTGCAAACACCCAACGGCCTTCTCCAAAAAAAAAATTCCCCAAGAGCCAAGCGGCAATAAGGCCTCGAGACAAGTGGGGGGGCCCGGTGGACGGAAGCGATTGCTAGTCTCGGCCCCAGGGTACGGGTTGATAACCCTAGATTCGTTGCGAGACTTTGGACAAAGACAAAGAAGCGGCTCTTTGGTGTAGCACAAAGCCATGTTGCGGAAGTTTGTAAGTGTGGTGGTTGCAGTCTGCGGGGTGTAGTAGCTACCTCGGACTACGGATAGACAGACGGGAGTAAAATACGTGCGCCATGTAACGCAAGGGCAATTAGTAATACTATCCGTACTTCCCTACTGAAAGTCTGAAAGAGACGGCTTCCGCCGACCGGATACCCAAACCGCCAAGCGGACGAAGGTTCATCAAGCTTTGGGCTGAGGCGATACAGGGCCCTTGGAGGCTCGCTAGGCGATGCAGGGGCACCGCTGCCACAGAAACGAGGTTGATCGTATGATGCCCCTCCTCTGAAGCGCAGCAGACTTTTTCGGCTCGAGTCCGGGGAGAGGCCCCTCGAGCAAGACCAAGAATCGACCACGGGTGTCCCTGGCTTACAACAACGACTTGCATACAGGCACAGCGCCGGCTGTCATCCGGTGTATACCGACGGTCCGGACTCATGACTGTAGAAGGTTTGCGGCGGGTTCGAGCGTCCAAGACTAGGTGAAGAGGATAATCCCAGACACGTGTAAGAGAGTAGGAAAAGTATGCGGTAAGAACGCGACGCGAAGGCGAGGCCACAAAGCGGCGTCATGTTCGTGGGGGATCGCGGTTCGGAAAGTGGATGAAGAGCTGAAGCGGAAGAGAAAAAAGGGCAAAGGGCGTAGTAAGGATCGGTACGTCCAACAAGCCCATGAACGTGGGCGAGGACGATGTACCGCTGGCAGTCGCAATCGTAACCCTACCCACCACTTCCCTTTCTGAGCCGAGCTACCGAGAAGCAAGCCATGCGATGCATGCAAGAAGTCAGCCAGGCATTCTTCTGTAAGGGGCTCGCATGCTGCAAAGGATCAGTCGGGTGCAGCGGCGTGGTCGCCGATATGGGTGCGCTGCGCCCTCGGGAGATGCAAGATACTTTACCTTGGCCAGGAAGTGTAAGGTAAGGTTAGGTACCTGCGTATCCGTACTCCGTAGATTTAGAATACCCAAGGTACTGCGTACGAAGTATGTACTGACGTGCTTGGACATTCCGGGGTCCATCCTCCAGCATCGGGGAGGGGGTCGGCTATTGGCAATAGCAATCTATTTCGATGCGGGACGAGAACGATGACGAAGATTGCAGTGGTCATCTAGGCTTCGGATTGTTGGTTGTCGCATGTGCTTTGGCAATGGGCGGGCATTGATGATGGAAAATGGAGAATCCCATCCCATCCCATCTCTCTGCAGTGCTGCAGTCATCCGTCTTCAACGTGAGATGAGAGCAACCTAAGGCAGCCGACCTTAACTTAAGTTGCCTTAGGTTTTCTTGGCCGACTACCCATTCTTGGCCTAGTGTTGAACGGGAAGGAACCATCGACATGGCACCTTTTTTTTTTTTTTTTTGGTTACCTGCGTGCCTACCTTCCGTAGTACTCCGTGGACCGTACCTTACACTTTTACAGTCTTCTTTCCTCATCCATTCCTTCCATCTTCTATTCCGCAGATGCCCACATGCAGGGCAGGGTACGGCAAAGTAAGGTAAGAGCGAGCATCCAGCGCTGCCTTGCCGTTCTTGTCGTCACTTACAGTCCCGGTCGTCGGAATCTGAGAGGAACCCGATGTCAGGGCGCCCCTTACCTTACCTTACCTAAGATACCACCCGCCTTACGTCAAGACGGAAGGGAAGAAGGGGCCAGGCTGACGACATGCGACGAGGGCTGAAGAAGTCGCCGTCGTACCTTGGCTTACCTGACTGGACGAGTACCTCTCTTACCTACCCCATGAAGGCTGGGCAGGCACGACGCACGGCAGGAACTAGGTACCTTACATGACGAGAGGCAGAATCGTGACAAGTGGAGGCAGGAACAGAACACTGCAGCACCCAGTTCGGGAGTGGAGACTGGAAGGTACCAGGGAAAGAGTGGATCGTGAGTGAGCCGAGGGTCACTGCCTCCGTTCTTCCACAACGACACTCGACCTCATTGACGCGCACCCGCCGGCCCCATCTGTCAAATCATCGCGGCTAATCAGGGAGCCTGCAAAGTACCAGATAAGGTACCTTGCCTGGGTCTGTAAGGTACGGACACATGTACTCCATACCTCATACCTTACCCAAGGTACCTGACGGTCTGACCTCACCGACACACGTCGAACCTCGAGGCTTGGCTCTCAATGCGGACTGTGTCTGTTGACTGTTCCAGCCTTTCTTGGGGGACAGTCTGGCCCGGCTGCCATGTCTCATCTCTACAAGGTGAGGTGATGGAGATTGCCATGGCCCATTAATAATGAGGTGAGGAAGCACGGAAGGTCTATCTGTACTTGCACCTGACTGTGTACACAACCTAGATTGCACCTTCCTCTTTTCCTGGGAGAGACAAAGAGCCGAGACAAAAGTCTCGGCATCAGGATGGCACACCTGGGGAAAAGTGTCTATCGGTGACCCATGTATCTTTCCACCCAATTCTCCAGCAAAGTGACTTGCAAGTGAGATGAACTTGACCCAAATCTGAGACCCAACCAACCACACTTTTCTCAATGTAAAAAAAATTAAACATCAAAATTGCGGCGTGTGAGTGTCGGGAGCTTCAATTTGGACCTGCATTTATCGCATTTTCCATGTCGCTGTTTCCAAGATTCGCAATCTCTTCCTCCTTCAATCATCTTGCCCTCAAACTCCTCGGCGCCTACCTCCCGTCGTCTTCTGAAGCTATGATGGAACCTTCTCTGACCTCATTCGACAATCTTCTTGACCCTGTCCTATCTGATTCTTTGTCTTTCTCTTTCTGTCTCCGTCACTGCCTCGTCTGCCTCCTGGGCTTTTCTCGTCGTCTCATCTGCCCATCCGTCATCTGCTCTGCTCCATGACTGCGCATCAGGCATCTCATCTGCCCTGCATTTCCTCCAATCTCCACCTCATCACCACACATCATCGCCGACTCCGTCACCTCCCAAGCCCTCTTTTTACGTCTGATCGACATCCCCGTGCCCACAGACTCGGCCGACTTGTCCACTGCCCAGCCATCTGATTCGCGGCCCTCGTCCGTCTCTTCAGGAACCGCCCCAAAGGATCCTCCCCTAGTCGACGATTTCAAATTCCAGAATGGACCCCAAGTCACCCCCCAGAGGGCCCAGCTGGCGACGAAGAAATAAGGTGAGCACACGCTAGAATAGAGTCCCACTCCTTCTAGAAAGATTGCCCGGGATCCCTGGGTCGCATAATTGATCTTTTAATTGCCAGGTATGCGTGAAACGCGTTTCCTTCATGCGATACCCGTCTGACCCCCTGCTCCAGCTTCAAGTCCCCCCCCTCCCATGATCCGTCATGTCTCGATGAGGTCAACTTGGCCGCCAGCACAAGCCGCATCTCACCCATACGAGTCTCGAGCCAATTTTCCAACGTAACGCCAAACCAAACTCCGTCGGCCATCCGTCCTCTTGCTGTCCGAGTGCCCTCCTTGGTCACCCTCCCATCGAGTCTTCGTCCCAGGTTTTCTCGTCCAAGCGCCCTTCCTACTGGTTCGGCCCTACCCTCCCTGACGAGCCATGGAAGATACTTGCGACTTTCGCCTTGGCCCAGCGGCGAGAGAGCGAGCCTGTCGAGCCACTCCCCAGGTCTGTTTTTGACCGACCTACCATCGAGCACCAAAGGTCTGGGATGTGCATTGAGTCGCACAATCTCCTTGCTGCCGAAAGCCGGGGGGGTTCTTTCGCCATGTACCGTCCTCCTGCTTACACCCACCACATTCCCGGCTCGCGGTTAGGTGAGGGAAGGGGGGGGGGAGGGTACGGTCGTGTGGGCGGCCGCGGGAAACTGTGTGCGCGTCTTCAGCGCACGCGTCTGGCAATCTGGGGATGCCTTCAAGTTCGTGAGAAGACGAGAGGAACTCGAACTGCTGGCGGCTGCGTGCACGTTTGCGCGCGCGCCCGCCCATGCAAACAGACGAATAATCACCTCGAGCGAACCGCTATCATCCCATGCTTTCGACGACGGCACCATCGTACGACCTGGTCGTTGAGTCGCACACGTCCCAAGTCCCCCAAAATAAATATCCTCATTGGAAAAAGTTGTTACCCCACAGGCTAACCAGTCTTGTCTGGTCCGGTGCAAGTCAACCCTTCGACCATCCCATCTCGTCGACGCGCGCGCCGCCCGCCTGGTCCAACAGCCGCCGCATTGCCGAACCTGAACCTCAACCGTGGCACCGCCGTCATTCTCATCTCGGACATATCCCTTCGGAGTCGTATTTCTTCTGTTTCTGCATCTGGCATTGGCATCTGCCTGTGGGACCTGCCAGATTTGACCGTATCGACATCGAGGCGAAGGCCGACTGACACGCCTTTTCTGGCGTTTGGGACGCAAATCCCCCTGCTGCGGACGTCTTCATCTTGGGTCAGCCGGGATGATTTGCCTCCTGGGACCACTGCAGTTCCCTTCCGAATCGATCCCGAAGCTTTTGACCAGGTCCTCGAACGTGGAAGCAGGCCCTCACTGCCACCGGTGACGGCAAAGGGGATCAAGGCTAAAAAAAGAAAGGGTCTTTTTTTTTTTTCTTCCTTTCTTCCTGACGTTGCGTACGGATACAACCAGCTTGAACTGGTGCCCTCCGTCTTTCTCACCCGGCAGTCCCTTGTTCTCACCCCTCGGCAATCTGCCCACTAGGTCGAGTGGTTGTTGCAACCTTACCGTCTCTCTGGCCCTATCGCGTACCGGAGCGGCGATTTCTCTTCATGGTTCTGGTATACCCTCCCTGCATCAGATATACCCCCATCAGGGCCAAGGCATGACTTCCCGGTGCTCATCCAGCCATTTCCTCTCCCAAAACCTGCTGTTTGCCCCCCAACAGACTCCACTGTATTCTCCAGAATGGGCAGAGCTGTCCAAGTTACGCTGTTCGCTGGTGGTTTTCCACCCAAAGCAAGCCCCCCGTCAAGGACGGCAGCCAGGGGAAGAATGACCCAGGGACTATGAGCTTCCGAGCCCACGCACACGCGCACACACACACACACACGCTCATACACATTCGCACTCAAGAGTCAACTGCCTTGAGCCAAGAGCTGCCACCCTGGTTCCCCTTCTCTCTCTCTCCCCAGTGAAGCAGGGGGCCGAGCAACATGGGCGGCCTTCTTCTGAATTGCTGCTGCTCAGTTGCCATACCCTTCCCAACCAGCGAGCGCATGGTAGGGCTCGTTTCAGCTTGTATCCCTCATTCGGCTGAACGTGTTTGGATTCCTTCCATGCGTTTTCCAGACCTCTCTCTTTCTCTCTCTCTGGGTCGTCTGGCCTCTCTTTCCAGGGTTGGATCGAATCCATCCGGAGGTTTCTTAGATTTGTGAAATTGTTCATTGCTTGTCCCCCCCCCCCGACGGCCCTGTCTGCCCATCATACTGGGCTGGCCACTGTCACGCTCACCCCTCGCCTGTTGCATCATCACCGCCGGCCGGGGGTACTCCTGCTTCTATATCCGGCAGCGAAACCCATGGCATAAGATCCCCAAATTATGCTACCGTCATCACTTACTGGGCAAGGTTAATTTGAGTCTCCGCAACCTACTCAGGAACAGAATACGTCTCGCACATGGCGAATCGCGTATGTGCTTGAAGTCGGTGACAAAAGCAGCGGCAGTTGATGTACCCTCTTTCTCGCCTCACCCCTCCCATGCATGCTTTTCTCCTCTCCTTCGTCCCCTTCTCTCTACCCCCAGAGCAAGAGTCCACACACAGCCCTCTATTCCTCTTTTCGATAAGGCACATCGGACGATATAATGCAGCCCTTGCCCACGTCCGCGCTTCTTTTCCTTTGACCCCTTCATTACTATATTACTTGTCCAGGGCCGAACGGGATTTATAATAAGTCAAGGGAAGATCCCGTGAGCTTAAACGGCGCGTGACAACAACCAGTTGAAAAAGGGTAGCATGGTTACCTCGACCTTCATTTCGTCTTAATAATTTTTTTCCCACCTTACGCCAGTCAAAGGGAACTATCCGTCCGGCCGTGCAGACAGACAGACAGACAGATAACTCTCCACCGCCGGGAGACAAGTTCTACTACGAAACCGCAACACCAACTTGGACTTATTTCTCGTTCATCATCATCGTCATCGTCGTCCCTCTCCTCTTCCACTCCTCCACAGCACTACCGCTAGAAGCATCTTGATCATCACAACCACATACTCTGGCAAGGGCTCGACCGTTGCCACAAGACACCATTTTCATCCGCTTCCAGCAATACCGCGAAAATTCTCTCCACACCTCCCGGGCACGAATGTTCGCTGAGTCTGGACGGGGGGTCTCATCACGGCGACACCATAGCGCTGTTACAGGATCACAGTTTGAAAGACTACCACCACCATCGCGACCCCGCAACGTCGTATCAGCAGCCTTCACCTCTCCCGACGCCGCCCGAGAGGGCCTTCGCTCAACCAATTCTTTCACTTCAAAGCCCGGCGACCGTCCAGAGCGGTTCGCTCTGGCGGGACCCATGTGCCGGAGGCACGCTGGCGGGCAACTACCGAGTAGGGGACTACAATGTCGATTATTCTGCACAGGAGTCGCATCCGAGCGACCAAGGCCAACAGCAGCATGGTTATGACACGACGCCCTCACATCATCAACATCATAGGAGCTCTCTCCACCATGGCGCCGCTCACACGCCAACTCTCCATGAGCCGCCCACTAGCCATCACTCCCATCATCCGGCCATGCAGCAACACCAGCAGCACCCTCACCACTCTCACCACCCCCATCAGGTTCTAATGGACCCGGGGCACCACATGGGCCACGCCCGGCACTTGGGCCCGCCTCACTACGGTGCTCCGGGCCCAGTCGTTGCTCCTTTGTATCCATCCATGACAACGCCTACGCAATCTCATACGCCCCATGGAGCACCGAAAAGACCGAGACCAGACGAGCTTGACCTGTCCGTTCCCGGAATTGACCTTGAGCAGACGGACCTCGAGACCATGCAGCAGACTCCTCTGGGCACCGCCTATGGACAAGCGACCCAGCAAGTGCAAGCTCCTACGCACCATCACCATCGACTACCCGATACAGGACCCCCTTCCAAGATGATGAGGCGTGATGATGACGGCGGAGACAGAGGCGGTGCCCCGAGCGTCGTGGGACAAGCAGGCATGCCGACTCCGGCACCGAGACCAAGGGGCCCGAAGCTAAAGTTCACACCCGAAGACGACCAGCTCCTAATCGATTTGAAAGAGAACAAATCCCTGACATGGAAGCAAATCGCGGATTTCTTCCCCGGAAGATCATCAGGGACACTGCAGGTGCGCTATTGTACGAAGCTCAAAGCCAAGACCACCCAATGGACCGACGAAACGGTATGTGCTCTTCCCTCCCCTGAGGACGCCATGCAATACAGCCAGACGGCACAACATGGCAAGACCGCGCGCAGCTTTCTGACTTGACTTCTTTTCCAGGACCAAAAGCTTCGCACTGCACTGCAAGACTACGAGAATGAGAAATGGCGCATCGTAGCTAACAAGGTCGGAACCGGCTTCACCCCTGCTGCCTGCCGAGAACGCACGCAGGAATTGATGGGCGGTCCTCCCTTATAGCATTCAATGTCTCCACCGGGAACTTCTGAGCCCCCGGCTGGAGACACCATCTACACGCAGCAGCTTCGGTGATGAAGAGAAGCTTGCCTTCAGCGATGATCTCCATCATGCAACTTGGAACGACACGACCCATCCAGAGCACCCAGATCGACCTCCACGAACGCCGTCCTCCCACTTCGACTCAGCGAGCTGGTAGGGGAGGAAGATCTGCAACAATTCGCTCGACGTCTTTTCATGTAACAGCTTGGGTCGCAAAGCACAGAGAACGCAAGGTCCGAAGACTTGCGCCAGCTCTTCTCGAATCACCGAGGCCATAATTACTTCTTCGCCTTGTTCACTTCAGCTTCTACCTCATAACCTGCGACTCTCCAGTGGCATTGTCCTTTTGTTTTGCTGGATTCCCCATCCGCCTAATTCTAGAGATACCCCCGAACACCACGGGTCACCTTATTTTACTTCATCTTTTTCTCGACCTACTCCTTTATCTCGACTCATGACACAACGCACACACTATAGACTTTGGGGGGCAACACAGCGAACCACGCAATCTACGGCCTTTCTACTTGTTTTTATCCTTCTCGACGCTCCCTTGGGCAATTTTGGCTTTTATTCTCGACGATTGTCATCAACTTCTTGTTGGCACCATGCAAGGAGCTATCAATACTGATTCTCTCGAGATTTGGTGCATTCGACAGTTTCCCTGCAGCATTTGGTGGGTTGTTATACCAACACGCCTACAGCATCGATTCTCGAAAACCTGACTGCATTGGATTTAACCGAGGAAAGGGTTTGGTGGTGAGCTGGCTTTGATGCCTAGGCGCCTTGCGGATGGAACAAGAAAAACACAAAAGGGGGAAAAGATGCATTTCGCATACAGGGCGGATGACACGCGCTTAGTTTTCGCATCCATGACGACGTCTGTTTTTTTTTGGTTTTTTTTTTTTTTTGTATTTTTGACCATTTTTTGTTTTGTCTTCTAAACGCTCATTATTCGTTTTTGTTCGATTCTGCCTCACACATCACGCAAATATACTTTATAGTATTTGTAGCTTTTTTTGAACCCCCTTTTTTGCTCCGTCCCAACCTTTTGCGAGCCCTTACGCCATAGTACGAAGTGGTACAAAGCGGCAGCTATACCTGAACTGCTACCGAAACTGATTATGTGAACCAAAAAAAAAACGTGCAGGAAGATGGAGAAAAGATATGGGAAAACGAAACATTTTTGTTTCTTCTTTTATTAATGTATAGTGGAATCGTAACTAACTCGATCCCGGCATGCCTATTCGAGATTCCATCAAGTATTCTCCCAAAGTGGAACATCGGGATAACTCTGTGATCACATTTAGCATCGTATTGCAGTCTGCAAGAAACCATGCGCCGACCGCTTCGGGGAAGTCGGGGAAGTCGGGGAGAGGACGGGGGGAGACGGAAAGAAGCAAGATCATAGACGTGGACACAAAAAAAGCAACATGTTTCTTTTCCCCTTATCATCCGTCCTCTTCGGGACGGGAAACGCGCGATGCATTGTGTGCCCTTTCATCAGGGCGTGTGTAGTCAAGTTAGGTAGAGCCATTCACCAGGTGTCGAGGCTCCCCCCCCCCCCCCCCCCCCCCCCCAACAAGGCTTCCAAGCCTCCAAGGCACCTTTGGCCTTGCCACATTAGCGCGGCCTGTTTGTGCGGCCCCGAGGGACGGCCGGAGGTTTTTTTACGGTTTGGCGTGCAGTTGACGTGTGGCCGCATCTATATTAACAATACATCCGCTTTTGGCAGCTGTTTATTACTCCGTGCTTTGCCCGCCTGCGTCCCTCGATCGAGTTGAGTAAAAGTCTGGGGAACCAGGCCAGGGGCCCAGGGGTCAAGAGATCGCGCGCGGGCGCGCGGGCGGGCGCGCGACGCGTGTAGCAGCTACTAAAGTCCGGAAACTAGGCGATAGCTGTGGTTTTTTTAAGCGAAGTTTTGACAAGTTAATGTTGGCTCTTGCTCTCGTTTCAAGTTTGTTCCTTTTTTTGGGTGATGGACGATGGGTAAGTTCATTAACTTCAGGCTTCTGCTGTTATTCTTGTTTCCCTACATTATGTCTGGGGCCTTGGGCCTTGGGCTGGCTGGCGCGTTCGGTTTGGTTTTGGGCCAATATCGGCTTGGCGAGTAATGGCGGAAAGAGGAGCGGGTGGGGGGAAGAGGGAGGGAAAGGAACGGCGGCGGGCAGGATTCAGGAAGACACCCAAAGGTGCGAAGAGTTCGGAGACGAGAGAACAGGGTAGGACGACAGGCCCTGCTTTGCTTACCTGCTTGCCTTGGCTCTCTCTCTTCCCCCTCTCTAGGCTCTCTCCTATCCCAGCACAGAGTTCGCCACATAGCCAGATGGGGACGGTAACGCAGAGACGGGCTGCAGGTTGGCCCTGTTGTCTGCTGAACGGACCAGGACCGGCTATCGAGCAGAGGGGGAAAAAGAAAAAGAAAAGCCGTGTTGGCATCTGGCCTCCGCATGTGCCGAGTTCGGGTTTGTGGTCGAGCAAGAGTATGGCCCTTTACGGCTTCTGTCGCCTTCTTTCACCCCCTTACAATGAGCGTCCTATAATCTGGATCTCCCGCTGGCTTCCAGTCTCCAGTCGTTAATGAACCCATTGATCACTGTGCAGACTCTCGTTTGGCTCTGCGTCCACCCAGAAAGATTGGTTTGGCAGCGGCTTCTGCCCGTTGAAACATTCGGCCCCAGGCTTTCGTTCATTATAAGACCCAGGGAATTCTGATATATCCCCCCCTACCCCGTCATATCCCACTCCCAGGCCCCAGCCACCCGCCAGAAGGCAAATCCAGGGAAGAAAGAAGCGGTCAGTCGCCCCGAGACGTGACACGCGCGGAGCCGTTCCCACACTTTGTCATGCCTGAGCCTCTTCCGCTCTCTCTTCGCGAGCAGAAATGCAGCGCCATGCATCCGTGTGAGAGGTCGTGGATCGCGCGGTGACAAGTGACGTGACGGGTTAGCCTTGGGTCGACGAGGTTCCTGCATGTCACCCCCTATGCAGAGTGATACCTGCATCACTGCATCGGGTACAGAGACCTACGCGGCGTTCTTCCAACGGTCTAGGCAGGCCACCGGGTGAGAACGAGGCAAGGCCAACCGCACCCTGGGTCCAGACGTCGGCTCTCGACGGCTGCTTGTAGATGGTGTTACTACCAACCCACTATCGCACCCCCCTTCGAAAGGTCGTGTCCGCCGCTATATTATTGAGACATTTTATGAACACATTCAAGCTCAAAGATTTCGTGACTCCCGAGACCACTTTCCGATTGTGGGGGGCCGCAAATCGGACACCCTCTCGCACTTCGCGCAGCGAGTAGTCGTAAAGCTCCGAAGACGTTCGTGAAGGGGGCCAAGATTCTTCTACAAAGACGGCTAAGCTTTTAGCAACTGTGACGATTTCAATCGCAAGAGGACAGGTACCGTTTCGCATGGCGCAGATCAAGCAAGCCAAAACGTCAGGCGCCACGATGTTGCGGCTCAAGGTACCCACGGAAAATTGCCATGTGGTCATGCAGGCGACGTTTGAAAGAACGAGGGGAGAAAAACACAACCCGTCTTCCTGGCGACGAAGTTGAACCTTTTTCCCAACCCTGCCCTTCGTATGACCCGTCAGCGGCTAGCCATCTCTTAGTCTTCGGACGAATGTCAACAGGTTCGCGAACTTCATGCTGAAAGAAATCGGCAAGCTCAGCGCATGAGACGTCCCAGGTGAAACTCCCGATGTGCGATTGATAATGGGTTATCGTATGTCAACTGCCGGGCCAGATGGTGAGTATGCTCGGTATCTAAGCCGGGGGATGCTGGCTTCGGTTCCCTTGAGCGCGAACCAGGGGACATGGTTTATGTTTGTCCTCCGGGGCATCAGCATCGTCATGTCGCGTCTCATGGCCTAGGGCTGATAGGGTTGTCTGGCGGGCCAGTCGGCCGACCGTGTGTGAACCAAGTGTATTCACACATGAGATCCCAAGGCGGCGACCATTTGATATTGGCAGCAGGCCTAGGTCTCTCGAGTCCGAGATATTGCTGAAAGGGGCCAAAGTTGACTTCACAGTCGTTGTCAGGGAACCCTTGCCGCGGCCTTTCTCCCACCCGGTTGCTCCGTGTGCCAGCCCGAAAAGCTTGGATCAAGCGGCTGACTGACGGTATATACTGCAGCCGAGGACCAACAGCGCCGAGCATATGCCGGGTTTCACCGATTCCGTACTCATATATACAACACTCAGCGAGACAGTGGTTTCTTCGCCCTTGAAGGTCATTGTTTTTCGAGCTTTGGGAGAGAAAATTGTACGTCCAAGGCCAGGCATACAACCTCTTCGAAGATGCGTCATGCGGGTTGACGCTGCGATGTAACCATACAGCAACGTTTTTTTCTCGTGCCTGCTCAAGCGCCAATCAGGACTTGGTCCTCCGTTGCCGCAGGTTGACATTTAGGGCCAGCTTGAGATCAACGTGATGTGTGCTAGAGCATTTTTGGAGTTCCACTTAGAAATGGGTTTGGTCAGGTAGTTTTGTTGCCTCGAGACCACTCGCCTGTGGGATGTTGTTAGCCTTGTCGAAATTGATGTCGTCCACAGTCTCCGCAATGAGCTGACAAGAATCCATTAGACAGGCATCGACAGAAAAATCTCCGTTAAATATGCACCGGAAGTTTTCTCTCAACCCCTGTCATCCAATCGGAGAATTGAGGCATCAATATGAATTGGATCCATATGTTGGAAAACGGAGCGCTGATGCTGGGTCCGCCGTTCTCTCCACCGCGTGGCTCTCTCGCAATTCAGAGGAACACTACCGGTCATGATCGTTGCATGGTGACACTCAACTGAACAGAGGGAATTGAGGGTCTCATTGGATTGAGCTCTCTGGGTTGCTGTGTGCCCTGAGCTCCGCTTCTTATTTCGCCGCTTGGCATTCCATCGGCCAACCATCGAACATCCAGGGTTTGTCATGTTTGAGGGAGCAAAAGCAAGCTCTAGACCGAATGCAAGGAATCAGATCTTGCTGCTATAGAGGAAATGGCGTGACTTCAAGCAAGATGATCCCAAGATCCATGCTGACTCCAGATCGAGCTTTTCAACGTCTTTGAACTGGTGGCCCGCCACTGACGATCCACTTCTTATGACAGATCAGTATCGAGATTGTGTGGGCAGAACTTGGTGCATTGCTAGCTTCCACTGTATAAGTTGACAACGGCAGCCGTTTCAATCCATGAAGATAATCCACTGCGTGTCTTTGGCTGCTCGTTTTGTCGCCACAATGAACAGTGCTTCTCTCTGGTGTATAGCAAGCTTCGAGGTTCCATGAATGGCATCAACACGACGCTGAACCCGTTGAGGCCACCATACCGTGCATGCGAATGCGGGCTCAAGCAGCGTTACTGGTTCGGCGAAATGACTGCCCATCAAGAAATGCCAGAGGGCGTGGGCGTAGCTTCGCATGAGTTTTCTCGCACGCCTCAGCGGCATCGTCGGCAAAAGGTAAGCGGCGGGTGCGAATCCTGAGGGCCAAGAGTGTGGGCATTTCCTTGGAAGGAAAAGTCTTCTGGCCGGGTACTTCCATGGCAGTCGCTGGTGTTCGGTCGGCCCCTGACGCGATACTCGTGGTGGTATACCAGTATATAATGCCTGATATTATGGCTATAGCGTGGTCTCTTAAGGGGCGACAAGCAAGCGAACGTGGCAAATGAAGTAGGCCACCTCGAATGCGACTGCACACCAAACTATACTAACAGGCTCCGGGATTGCCTTGGTACTAGAGCAAACTGGTAACCTTTGGAGGAGACTCGGCCACGTTGGCATACCGCGAGTTTGGCGAGTGGCTTGTCGAGGACCGTGGTTGCCGGACGGATGGAGCTCACCCGCCGAAGTACAGTACTGCAGACGAGTTCCTTGAACCAAGGTCGTCTCGTGGCTTCTACGACAGAACCATGCTGCATCTCTGCCGCGGAATCGATTCATTCAGCAGGCACTAGTCGCTATGGCGGTGTAGTCCAGTTGCGAGCAGTCGAGTTGTTGAAGTCAAGTGCACGAGCATCGAGAGGGTTGTACCCTGGACCGTTAATATTTCCAGTGTCATAGTGGTCGATCTCGTAAAGTGTTGGAATATGATCGACGATAGTCTGGGGAATGCAAGCGTGTCATCGCGTCCTTCTCAGCGACTCGTTGTTGTTTCGCTGTACTGTGACCCGAGCCGAGCGGTGTCATTGATTTTGAATATTGGCAAGCCTACCTTGACGATTGTCCGTCAGGTTGGAGAAATGCTTGCCGAGAGACTCTTCGTTTAACACAGTGTTATTCTCCACAAGATCGACGAGATTCTTGTGATGGACAACGTCAATTCTACCCTCGAGATAGGCAGCCATCTCAACTAGCCATCCGTTGAACTCGTTGACTTCGGTCGGTTTTCCAGCACAAACGTCTTGAAGCATGGAGCTCGTGTTTTCTCGGACCTTGTGTCCAACACTGTAAAGCATCTCCTTGAGCTTGTCATGGGAAAAGCGGCCCAGGAGGTCGCGACGTCGACGTCCGAGTTTGCGGGTCATCTCGTCCTCCGTTGCCAATGCCATGCCAGGGGCTGTCTGCAGAATAGCTCCGGTGCTTCGGTCCTTAATCAGGGCCTGGAGAATATTACTAGCTTCCATCAACAAAGAATCGATGATATTTGCAATAGTACCATCCTTTTTCGTGAACAGATCGCCATTCTTACAGCGAAGAATCGCAGTTAACGAGTTGATGACGGAGTTGACGACGAGTTTCTCTAGCTGTAGTATCCATAGTTCGTCGCGTGCCACAACTTGGCCGTTGAGATGGGGTGATTCAGCGAGTAGATTTGACAAATAAGAGGCGTTGTCGGCAGAGTTATTAGGGAAAACAAGTCCAACCTTGAGGTCTGCCTCGGAGGCATGTAGACTCTTAAACTGACCCAACGAAGTCACACCGTGAGTTGTGACGCAAGCCAGCCAGTTGGGATGAGAAGCAGATACATCTGGGAACCGCGATGCCATGTAAGAATCGCCATGAGGTGGCCAAAGTTTACACATGCCGTTCTGAGCGAAAGCAACCGTGGAGCGATCATTGAGATAGCGACGTGCCCGATCGACCTGTGGAAGAGCTTGGGATGCCTTTGTCGTGACGATGAGGTTGGGAATCTCCTGTCCATCTGCAACTTCTCCTGCCGGACCTAAGGATGGTTTTTCTTCGGACCATAGCTCAACATCGAAATCCAAATACCTTTGCGTAGAGTCTCCCCGAGTGACCTCGATGCCTGGTTGCTGTCTCCACGACAGTAGAAGATCTTTGCGATGAACAACGAGGGTTATCGGTGGTGGATTTGGCAGAGACGCAAGCGAGCTGGCAAAAAGAATTCCTAGGTTTCCAACACCAAGAACGTAGATACGCTGTTGGGGACTGCGGTGTTGTTGATGGGATATGGAGCCATCCAGCCGACTAGGCGATGAGCTTAAGACTGATTGATTTTCTTCCAGATTAGACAGGCTCCAAGCATAGAGTTTGGGTGCGCTCTTTTGGGGCATATGGTTGAGGTAGGGTTGTAGCCAGACGGGAGCCATCTTGGGAGCGCTCCGTAGGGTCGACGAGGAACGGTGCATGGACCGAAGGCCGTGGCCAACTGTTGAGAGAATGTCAGGTGAAGGGCGTCTAATCATGGCTCTAGACAAAGGACAACAGAGGCTATCGCTGTCAGGGTTTGTATACGAAGTCCTGTAGCTGATAGAAGCAATTGGTTTGGATGTCGTTGATTCCCAGCAATAGCAAGACGATCAGAGAGGTGCGCACGGAATACGGAATACCCCTTGAGGGAGCTCCTTCTCTGCATCAGGGCGCCGCATTAGTCAGGTGTGGCTGCCATGCCGATTCTCATTGTGGCTGGAAAGAGCCTTCAGGAATGCTCAGCTGCTTACCTAAGACTGTCCCACGCCGTAGGGAATTACGGACTGGGCCCAGATTCTACCAATCAAATTCATCACCAAGTTTTCCCATTACAATCCCTGTCCAGAGCAGCTGACTGCGCGAACCGTTCGCTCCTGCCTCGCCGTGGCGTCATCGTTTTTCGGAGCAGATCGCTGGTGGACATTCAAGCCTGACGCGCTGCTGCCTGTCCTGCTGCCTGTCCTGCTGCATCTTTGCCTCACAATCTCACCGGAGTGAGTCACCTCCAACAGCACACACGATTATCCTCACGACGGTCTCTTGGAATCCAGATCCTGGTTGTCGCCGTTCGGACACAGTTTGGCACTTACTAAGCTTGATACCGCCACTTAAGCTCATATCCATTCTCAACTTCACTCAATTCTCCGTTCGCCAACCACCAGCAGGGCTATTTCTCTGTTACCCAACTAGCTCATCGAAATCGGCGACAATAAAGTACATTTATCTTGGGTCGCGACCTGGCATATCGGGCATGGATTCATGAAAATCCTTCGTCATCGGATTTCAAGATGTCGTCCGACAAAGAAGACGGTAGCATTGTTGCTAAGAAAACAAACGAGGAAGGTGCGCCTTCCAGCACTGAAACAGATGCACCCAGAACCACAGCAGCTCAGTTTGAGGGTGACGAAGCAGCATTTTTGCGAACCATCACAGCCGATATCCGGGATCAATATGATTTAGAGCGTGATATTACAACACAGGCCAACGCCGCCTTAATTGAGGCAGAAGACAAGAAGGATAAGCAGCGCATTGAGAAACTAGAGGCCACCAAAGACAAACTCGAGACAAAGAGAACAGATCAACGGAAGAAGCTTGAAGGAGCTCGTCGGAACCCTTATCAGTCGCGGATCATACAGAAGGAGCTCGGCAAGCTGGAACTTGAGATTGAGAATGCCGTCAACGATATCTCGGACTGCCAAGCTCGCATAGATAAGAGGCAGGAGGAGATTGCCGTTGTCGAGGATCCCGTCAAGAGCAAATCTAAACGCTTGGCCGGCGAATCACACCGAGAATACCTTGTTCGGACAGGAAAGATCACGCCCTTTGCCAACATTGGCGGTGAACGACCTCATGGTTTCGAAGGCGAGCTAGCAGACGTTCTCGTCGAGGCTGAGCAAGATGCAGCTGCAGAAGAGTACCAGAGCGACGATGAAGAGCCAAAGTCTCATCAAGTACTGCGGATGCCGGGATTTGCCGAACATCCAGAAACAGCTCCGGCATCTGTTGAGACTGAATTTTCTCTACGACCGAGGAAGAAGCGCAAGGTAGATGAAGGAGCATCTTCCGATGAATTCGATGCGTCGGCTGTCAGTTCTGCTGAAAGCCAGTACGCTTCGGACACCAGTGAGGAAGAAGCCACGGGTCGCAAACGCAAGAAGGGCACGACTACGGATAAGAAGAATAAGCAGAAGAAGGTTGCAGAGAATACAGTCACCGTTGGTAACACAAAGGTCGACCTGAGCAGCGTCGACGACGGAAATGAGGCGATCTATCAAGCACGCCTTGCCGATTGGGTCAGAAGGCGGAGTGCAGCTCGTCAACAACAAAGCGGAAATGCTGATGGTGACATCTCAACTGAAGAGAATGGCGAGGAAGAGTGGTTTAGGCCGTCGCCTGATCAACCTGATCATGAATTTGGCAATGGGCTGAGGCTCCCGGGAGACATCCATGCGTCGCTCTTTGCATATCAAAAGACCGGCGTTCATTGGCTTGCTGAGCTTTATGAGCAAGGCGTAGGCGGCATCATCGGGGACGAGATGGGCCTTGGAAAGACAGGTAAGAGATTCTGGTCGCAAATAAACGCATGGTTGCTGACACGTTAAACAGTGCAAGCAATCGCTTTCGTTGCGGCGTTGCATTACACCAAGAAGCTTGATAAGCCCGTCATAGTAGTTGTCCCCGCGACTGTCATGCAGCAGTGGGTCAACGAATTTCACCGATGGTGGCCTCCTTTGAGAGTGTCGATTCTGCACTCATCCGGTAGCGGCATGATCAATGTGGCTGAAGACGATGATGATGAAGAGTATCCTGGAAACGGGACGAACCGTGACGCCGCAGAACGTATCGTCAGGCGTGTTGCCAAGCATGGACACGTCCTGGTCACAACGTACGCTGGCTTGAACACCTATGGCGAGCAACTACTTTCCCTGGAATGGGCCTACGCCATCCTCGATGAGGGCCACAGAATTCGCACCCCCAACGCGAATGTTACATATCAAGCCAAGTGTCTCAATACGCCTCATCGACTGATCCTTTCGGGTACGCCAATCCAGAACAACCTCACTGAGCTGTGGTCGTTATTCGACTTCATCTTTCCCATGCGACTAGGGACTCTTGTCAACTTCAGACAACAGTTTGAGATTCCTATCAAGATGGGTGGTCATGCGAATGCGACCAATCTTGCGGTCATGACTGCTGAAAAATGCGCAACGACTTTGAAGGAAACTATCAGCCAGTATCTGCTTCAGCGGCTCAAGGTCGACGTGGCATCAGATCTGCCGGAGAAGACGGAGCAGGTGCTTTTCTGCAAGTTGACGCCGGAACAAAACGAGGAGTACGTCAGGTTCATTCATTCGGATGCGGTCTCTCAGATTATGGCCAAAAAGCGTCAATCCCTCTACGGAATCGATATCCTGCGAAAGATCTGCAATCATCCAGATCTTGTCAGTGTGAACAGGAAGAATCAACCAGGGTACGATTGGGGAAGCCCCAGACGGTCTGGCAAGTTGCAAATGGTCGGCGACCTTCTTCCAATGTGGAAGAAGTTCGGACACAAGACGCTGCTCTTCTCCCAAACCAAGATCATGCTTAACATAATCCAAGACTTCATCGGCAAGATGGAGGGGATGAACTACCTACGCATGGATGGAGACGTCACCATTGAGAAGAGACAAGTCCTGATTGACAAGTTCAACAACGACCCCTCTATTGACGTTTTCCTGTTGACGACCAAGGTAGGCGGCTTAGGTGTGAACCTCACCGGAGCAACCAGGATCATTATCTACGACCCTGACTGGAATCCGTCGACGGATTTGCAGGCGCGAGAGAGAGCCTGGCGGTTAGGCCAGACAAAGCCGGTTGCGATTTATCGGCTAATGACATCGGGCACTATCGAGGAGAAGATTTACCACCGCCAGATTTTCAAGCAGTTCATGACGAACAAAGTCCTCAAAGATCCGAAGCAGCGAGCCAATTTCGATCTTTCCGACCTTTATGACCTATTCAGCTTTGGTGACAACAGCCATAGTATGGCCAGTGCCAATAGAAGTAAGGTATTTGAGGGTGCAGAAGTTAAGTTCAACCAGTCAGAGGGCCACAATCAGCTGGAGAAGCCATCAAAGAACGCCGTTCCCATCTCCTCCGTCAAGGCAGAAGATGAGGTCGACACGGTCCGCAAGCTTTCCGGCGTCGCAGCGATGGAAGAGTTCACGGAGCCTACAGATGACAGCGAAGAGAAGCGGATAACCGAGAATCTCTTTTCGCGGACCGTGGATAGTGCCTACGAGCATGACCAAATCATGAATGGCAAGAAGAAGGTGCAGGCTGATCAGGCCATGAATCGACACGAGGCGAACAAGATAGCGGCCCAGGCTGCCGCTCATCTGCGACGAGCTGGAGAGGCTGCGCGCCATGTTCCCATCGGGACCGTCACCTGGACTGGCGAGATCGGCGAGGGCGGACGACCTACGGCACCGCGACGTCGAGGGGTGAATTCTTCGGCCGTGATGACTTCACTTGCGGATCGTCAGGGGCTCAGTCAGCCGGTCAGTGGCTCCAGTTCGCGGGCCAATACTCCAGGGACCGACAAACCATTGAAGGAGAAGGATTTCATACCCTTGATCCAGAGTTTTATGAGACGTCAAGGAGGCAAGGCAGTCACCAAGATGCTGGTTGATCATTTCAACCCGTATTGCAAGACTCCGAAACAGACGGAAGACTTCAAGAGTGCGCTGGACAGAGTAGCCGTCCTAGGGAAGACGGGAGGCACAGGTAGAGGTACCTGGACGCTGAAACCTGGATTCTAGTAGTAGATGGCCAATTCCCTTTGGACAACTTGAGGGTCATGATGTGAATGTTAAGGACCGGGAGCATGGCGTTCAGGGGAGGCATGGGTACTTCCAGACTTAGACGCAGAGACTCGTCATGACTGATTCGCTGAGACAAGATTGCTGCCTCTCTCATAGACCCAATAATTGAGCGAAGCGGTCATTAGTTACTAAGTGATTCACACTTCACATCACAGCATAAGAATATGTGCACAGTTCTGTCGAGGGTTCAGGAGCTACTCTTCAGTTCAGGCCATATATGGCGAGTTTCTATTCTGTCTACGATAGATACTGTCGCCCGCAGCAGAAGGCATGTCACAGTGCGTAGAGGTAGAGTGGGGACCAGGCTAAAGCGCCGTTCCCCGCGTTTTTCGCGATGCCACCAAGAAACCAAATAATGAGCGCTCCTGTCCCACGGAAGCCACCCAGGTAATGATGTAAAACCGGGCGCTCAGAGACGACGACCGCGGCGACCACCCTTTCTGCGGGTAGAGTCGGAGGGCGTAGGGGTGACGTCCTCAATACGGCCGATCTTCATGCCGGAACGGGCCAAGGCACGGAGGGCAGACTGGGCACCGGGGCCGGGGGTCTTGGTGCCGTTACCTGTGGGAGGGACGGAATCAGCGCGAGTGCTCGTGGGAAGCTATCGAGAGGGTCTTGAACTTACCACCGGTGGCACGGATCTTGATGTGGAGGGCAGTGATGCCGAGCTCCTTGCAGCGGGTAGCGACGTCCTGGGCGGCCAACATGGCGGCGTAGGGGGAGGACTCGTCACGGTCGGCCTTGACCTTCATACCACCAGTGACACGGCAGATGGTCTCACGGCCGCTGGAATCACCCAGTTAGCCATCTTGCACCATCAAAGGTTGTGGATATAGTCTTCATGTTCGCCAACGAGGAGGGAGTATTCCGGGACTCGGAGGCAGAACGGCGGGGTGGTGAGACCTACGAAAGATCGGTGACATGGACGAAGGTATCGTTGAAGGAGGCGAAGATACGGGCAACGCCGAAGACGAGCTCGCCTAAAGATCGCGGGGTAGTCAGCAAAAATGCTTCATTTTCTCATTTTGCGGTCGACGCATGCGAAATGGAACGCGCAACGTCACAATCAAGTGGGATACGGGCGAAGACTCACCCTCGCGGACCTGAGGACCCAAGGAGATGTTCTCCTGGGCGGGACGGACGGTCTTGGACTTGGGAGGCATCGTGACTGCTGTGTTTGGCGAATTGTCTTTCGGTGGTGGTTAGTCGGAGTGGTTGGCAAAGGGAAGCTCTCTGAATCCGTCTCTCGCAATAATCCCAAACGAAATTTCACAAAGCCCGCTGCCCTGCACACACCAACAAAAAGAGTGGGCAAGAATGCCCTGACGGGGGTCAGGCGGTTGGCGGTGGCAGAACAACCCGAACAGGCCTAGCGCTATAAGAAACCCTACCTAAGCGAGAAAAAACAAGGGCGGTGAGAATTTCAATTTGCTGGTGGTGGCCCATGCACCAGCCCCAGCGGATCCAGCGAAATTTTGGGTAAAACTTCTGCAATCCCGCGAGCTTTTCTCTTTTCCCTTCTTCTTTTACTTCAGCGACCAATTTTCGACGACAACCGCCGACGACAACCAGACCCGCCTTCACAATGGCCGCCACCACGTATGTACACCAATGCTCTTGATAGCAGCGGCAGCATCTTCCCCGTTGGTTCCGTTTGCGATGGTCTTGCAGATTGTCGTGGTCCTCTCGCTGGAGTCCTTGCTTCACCTCGTCGTGAATGCCTGGCTCTCAGCTCGAACCCTCCTGGGCAACCTCCCTCCTTCCTTCATGACCTGGAATATGGCTTGCGGATTGAGAGACGGTGCCCGGGGTGTGGGGATGAACGATAACTCGTTCTCCCTCAAATACATTGCCGTTTGTTAGGTTCTTGCTGCAATGCTGAAAAGCTTGCTCCTGAGCCGTCCACAAGCGTGCATATACTCTCGAACACTACTGTGCTTCGAGGTGTTGTCGGATGAGCATCGTACCGCGGTTGCTGGTCCCTATTGGAGCCAATGCTACTGCTTAGTCTGCTCACCGATCAAAGTCATGAACTTCGAGTTAGCCACAGCGAGAATGTCGCGCTTCAGCTACAATTCTCGCACCGGCGCTCTTTCCATGCTGCTTGCAGTATGTCGGACTGCGTACTAATCTGACTTGCAATAGTTCCGTCCCCACCTCAAACCAGATTCTGGTCCCTGAGACCCTCCTCAAGAAGCGCAAGTCTCAGGAGAAGGCTCGCGCTGAGCGCAACTCGGCCACCGAGAAGCGCAAGGCTGTAAGTATACTTCTACTTTTACTACCCTTCCCCCGCCTTCATGATGCATAACACACCTTTCACAACTAGACTACGGTCGATGCAGTTGGAATTAACCTTCTTTCGGGTCTGACACTTGCCGGATCATTCACATCTTCATTGCATATCTGATCCAAGGAACATTTTGCTAACATATTCTCAAAAGGCCAACAAGGAGAAGCGTGGTGTCATCTTCAAGCGTGCTGAGAAGTACGTCAAGGAGTACCGCGACGCAGAGCGCGAGAAGGTCCGCCTCTCCCGCGTTGCCCGCGAGAACGACTCCGCCTACGTTCCTGCCGAGGCCAACCTGATCTTCCTTATCCGCATCAAGGGTATCAACAAGATCGCCCCTAAGCCCCGCAAGATTCTCCAGCTCCTCCGTCTCCTCCAGATCAACAACGGTGTCTTCATCAAGATCACCAAGGCCACCACCGAGATGATCAAGATCATCGAGCCGTGGGTTGCCTACGGTTACCCCAACCTCAAGTCCGTTAAGGATCTTGTCTACAAGCGCGGTTACGGAAAGGTCAACAAGCAACGCGTCGCTCTTACCGACAACTCCATCATCGAGGAGAACCTCGGCAAGTACGGCATCGTCTGCATGGAGGATCTCATCCACGAGATCTACACCGTCGGCCCCAACTTCAAGCAGGCCTCCAACTTCCTCTGGCCCTTCAAGCTCTCCAACCCCACTGGTGGCTTCCGCCCCCGCAAGTTCAAGCACTTCATCGAGGGTGGTGACCTTGGCAACCGCGAGGAGAAGATCAACGCCCTCCTCCGCCAGATGAACTAAACTGGTCGATTGTACGGCTTCATGATCAACAAAAATGGGGATTTGGCAGGGTTTGTCTAGTTACTCGGGACTTCGGCAGGTTTGAGAATACCAAGGGTTTATTACATGATTGGCACGGTTGCACGGCGTTGATAACCACAAGAGGGAATTTGTGAATTGATCATTTGACGACCACTGGATTCTCCATCCTCCTTGTTCAATGGGTAGCAATGCAAGCCTCTTCAGAGAGTTGTATGTGTCATGTGCATGTGTGACTATCGTTATGTTTCCTGGTATCCAATGCCTCAACCATGAGTAGTGTTTGTATGCATTATATTAATATTGTACATGGGCAAACTCGGCGCCAGCTCTCTCGGTTCTCGTCGAGGTCGGGCTGACTCATCATCAAATCTTGATGTCGAAGCTAGTCCCACATCCACAGCTGCTCGACGCATACGGGTTGTCCGTAATCTTGAACTGGGACCCAATAAGCTCCATAGTAAAGTCGACCTTGCTTCCCTTGAGTAGATCCAGCGACGGCTCGTCAATCACCACCTTGGGTCCCTCAAACGTTACGCTGGTCGGGTTGGCATCCTCTGGCAGGTATTGGAAAACCGTGTCGTCCTCCCCAACAACCTTGGACCAGTCCTCTGCGCTCTCACCTTCGGGTAGGGTGACTAGGCTCATGAGGTACTGGAAGCCGTGGCAACCTCCGCTCTCGACTTGTATCCTCAGGGCTAGGTTCGGGTTGTTGTCCTTCTTCATGATGGTTGCTAGACGCTGTAATCGCGGAATAAGGTTGTTAGATCTCGGACTCCTTTGTTCGGGGCTTTGCTTCACGTAGCTGCACGTACCTTGCCCGCTCTGTCTGTGATATCGAGCTTCATCTCTTGCCCTTCCTCATCCGTCTTCGGGTTCCAGGCGCATCTCGTCTGCCTCCTCGCCGCGGAAGCTGTGAAGGCTCGGGTCTGCTGTCGCATCGTCCTCCCGGCGAAGCGCTGCGGCATCGTCCTCCTTGGAACGCCGTCGGTGCAACATTGTCGCGTGCTGCTGAAGCCGGCTTTCCTGGTGGCGGTAGCGGTGGTGGTGGCGGGCTTCCATCCCGGAACAAGTACCGAGAGGATCGGTGCCGGGGCGTTCGACGTCGGTGTTGTGCGGCGCGCAAGCTGGACAAAGATATTTGCGCTCGAGGGGCTGTGGATACATCGAAGGGAGACCATTTCGAGCTGCCTTGCTGCGATACCGAGGTCGTGACAGCGGATAATTGTTGAACGGGGGCCGGCAGCAGAGAAATTTGAGGATACCAATGTTCGGTAATACGGTAGCTTATGATGTAAAGGGTGGTGGGCGGTAGGTGGCGGCAGTTGGTTGTTTGCCGCATTAGTCAGCCTGGGGGAGCTCGATGGTTTTCGACCAATGGTAATAGACGGATTTCAACTCCATGACCATATTCTTCAATGATACCTCATTGCTACCCTCTTCGGACAGATTGCATACCGTTGCGTGAAATCCTGTCATGTAAGGTAGCGTTAGCATCATAAATTTCTTGCCAAATGGCTGTCTTTGCAGATGAACCTATCGTTGTGGCGTTAAAGCTCGGTTCGGTCATCGTTGTCGGAGCCGGCCCCTCGGAACTGTGGAGACCATCGGAGGCTGCAGCTGCAATCGCCGAGCTTTCGGGACGGTCCCGGGACTTTGAGATTGGAACTCAGAGAGCAAATCTCTAGTGTATGACAGATCCTAGATTATTGGCTTAATTAGTATTTATTTTTACTCTAAACATCCTGCAATCTATACTTCTGAATGGCCATATGATCCGGTGCTGGATGAGCTGGACGTGGCACGTTAATCTTGGTGAAGAGTGTCACTTAATTGACCCAGGTATCGACGTTTGTACCACATTCAAGCTGAGCATGTAGATAGGCGCGTGTGACATTCTTAAGTTTTAAGTATTCCATCAACGCAATCGGTATGCCAAAGTGAAAGACAAAACGTAGGGAATGATTAAGCCACCTAGTAGGTACCCTACATACGTATTCAATGCTGCATGCCAATTTCGAGGCTTGCTGTCTTCTGCTTATTGTGATCGGACTTGTTTATAAAACCCAGCTACGGCACGTCATTTGAAGTGTATTGAGTGACTTGGAGAGAGGTGGAGTGAGTAATGAAGGCCGTCGACTTTCTGGAAGCTTGGAGTCCGGTAAGGTAGTCGAGGCACTCAATGACACAAACCAGGGCAAGAGGCACCAGCGACTCAATCTGGTATCACAACCTATTCCTCGACTATGGTGAGAACTGAAGGGACTGCGCTTTCCGTCCTTCCTCCTCTTTACTACCTTACATGTACCCACGCATGGCTTTAAAATGACAATCGCAATTGCCGGCATGAATCGCTGGACTCACGCAGAAGGTACCCCTGAACGGCAGCCATGGAAATTTATCTTATGAGACCTCTGGATGGCGGTGCATCGTCCAAGTCGTTCTTCAACCTCGACCATACGACCACACCTAAAAACTTTTCCCGATAACAACTCAAACGCTACCTAAGATACCTACTTGTTACTTCAATTTTCCATGTCATTTGTCATTCACAAACTCGGCCTTGCCGATAACTTCAAGCCAACGCGACACAGAGCGGCAAGACCGCACTTCGGCCGTGGCGGATTCCAAGTCCCAAATCCAGGCGGCACGGCAGACATGTCTAGCTTCATGAACCACGCGAGAGATATCGTCGCTGGCAAGGGTCTGCAAACCGACTACACAGCTTCTCCTGATCCTTCACCAAACGCGCCCCAGGCCACAACCCTCGAAGTTCTCTGTCTCGCCATCGCCATCTTCGTCCTTGCTTGTATCCTCGGTTTCATCGTCCTGATCGGCGTCAAGACTAGGCGCTCCCGAGCACAACATGAGGCCAATAGCTTTCCGGAAAGCAATGGCCGGGAGGGATGGGATTCACATGACACAACACAGGTTTTCATCAACGGTGTCCAGAGGCGGAGCGATTCGGTAGCAGGACAAGAGAGGAACGAGCTCCATCTCCTGGGGAGAGATGAAACGGCCTCCCTCGCCCCAAAACACATCTTCAGGCCTTGGAGAGACGCCGCTGATGAGCGTAATGGTGGGATTGGGAAGTTCGACGGCACATCGACGGGGCTTTCCAACGATACCGTCCGGGACTCGGAACAGTACCCCACGACCGACAATCAAGGGGTCATTCGTTCGGTCGATGAACATCTACCCGCACATTATGGTCGTAGACCGTCGAGGCGCTTCGACGAGGGAGGTGTCATGGACACGGGCTCAGGACCGACAACCCATAAGTAGCAGCTGAGCGGTGGCACGCGAGCAAGACAGGACAGTCAAGGATGGACAGACAAATAAAAAGACTCTATTCCCTCGCTCGTCCCCGCCCTAACCTAGTTTACCGGCTCCTCAGGGTGATCGCACAAGGGCCCGCCGGCTTCTGGCTCCCTAGCGAGCTTTCACGTGCGTGTGACGTAGTATGTTTGTACAGCTGTATTCCGATCCGGATCGCGTCGTTTATCGATTAGACAGTCGTGGCATCTTATGCCTGCTTCCTGATCTCTCTGGCGGCCTGCTTCAGGCTGGAGTTGCACTCCTCGTATGCGCGTCCGGCTCCGAAACCGACACCGACGAAAGCGGGCCACGCTCTGCGCTTGAAAATGAGGACTGAGAAGACGACGCCGAAGCCAAGACCGAGGGTGGACTTGACGAGGAGGTTGGACAGGCAGTGATCCCACTAAATAACTGTTAGGAGATCTCGGGCTATCGAAGTTGGTGACGGCTTGGGGGAGCTACCTTCTCGTTGAGAAGTGCCTCACTGACGGGGCGCGCGACGGCGCTCGGGGGAGGGGGAACAGAGGTGTCTGACATGGTCGTCGATACCCTGGGCAGCTGGTCGTCAGCGTCAATGGATCGAGCGAAGAGCTAGGGGGCGGTGCTTACACAATTGACTCGGTGCTCAATGGTGTTGTCGAGGTCGGAGCTTCAGCTATGGAATTGAACCAAGTGATGTTTTCGGAGAGAGCCGGCAAATTGATGATGAACACCCGAGGGCGGTAAGTCTCGGTGTGAGTCTCGGTGACCTCTTCGGCTTAGGTGGGGCGGCAGAATCCCGAAATTTTGGGAAAGCTCCAGCCAAAAATCGCGGGGAGTCGATGCGACTTACACCTGAGCGCACTCAAAAGATCTGCACGTCTTTTGAAGTCTCTCGTGGTTGGTTGTCTATCATGGACGTAGAAATGACTGATGCAAGCCCCAGTCGGTCTTCTGAGACTATTGTAAGTTCCTCAACCATGTATTCAACACCATCCTCGTCTATTAACCGTTGTCGAAGACGTCGGACAGGGACTTGGTCAAGACAGTGCGATCTCTCGACCAGACCGGCCCCGGAGCCAATGGCGAAAACCTCGACCGAGTATGGAAGCAGCTCACATCTGCCAGCCAGGGACCCTTCTCTGCCGCTGAGGAGAGCGTCCTCCGATGGCTCCTCAAAGTCATGAAAGCGAACAACGACGAAGCCGACACAATCCGACGATTCCCCCTAACATGGCGCATTCTCGATTGCACATTCCAGAGAGTCCCTCTCTTTTCACTCGCAAAGTCCCTCGCCGATCGAAAGTTCATGGCGGTTCTCCAACAGACTCTCAAGAGCGTCGCGAAGCCGAGCACCGAACCCCAGACCTCAGGATCCAAGTCGAAGAAGAGGAAGAGGACCAATACCGCAATCTTTGAGCTGAAGACTCTGCAGTCTTTCGAGGGTTGTCTAGTCACAGGCGAGGCTATCTTTGACGCATTAAAGAACCTGTTTGAACGACTGGACCCGGCGGCACAATGGTCGGCTCACGACAGGATGGGAGCAGAACACATCAAGGCACTCTTCGCCCAGCCTGCGACTGAGGCGGTAGAGTTGCTCTCGCCTCTGCTGTCCCTTTGCGATTCCTCCCTGGAAGCCTCAGAGACTGAAACATTTGAGGCGCAAGAGTCATGGGTAAAGGTCTTCTCATCCGCCTGGGACCTGCATCTTCAGGGCGGCGCCGATGCGCTCGAAGTCGCCACTCACTTCTCGCGGGCGTCTTTCTCTATTCTGGGCGAGACTAAGAACCGGTCGAGCAACGATGGACAAGTAGCCAGGGTCTGGACTCGCGACCTGGAAAAGTTCCTCCAACGCAACCTTGTTCTGCCGGCGAGGTCGGCGTACCTCAACAAAACCGATCTCGAGGTTATTACTCGCTGTTTTACCATGGTGCAGAACATCGCCTTGGCCTCGGTTCCCATTCTTTACCGTTTAGTGTCTTCAGCTCCGAGGGTCGTCGGAGGACTCACGACAACAAAGGCTGATGAGGCCTGGATGCAAGAGGTTTTCAAGATGTCTGAGCGTGCCATGAGACAGCTGTCCGGTAGCGAAAAGTCACAGGCGATGGGAGGCATCCTTGGGGAGGCTATCGCGAATAAGTCTCGCATCGCTCCGAGCGACCTTCTGTCAGTCTGTGAGACTTACGCGCTTTCTGATAACCAGAGCGAGACTGACTGGCGTCTCTTGTCGCTTGTTGCGAAATGTGACGCTGATGTCTTTTTGCAATCAGAAGAGGGCACACAACTCTTCAACCAAGTGTGCGACAGGATCACTGCAGTTGGCGCGGAGGCGGACGAGGACACTATGCGCCAGCTGATTGAGTCGCTGATAACTGGTTTTGAAAATGCCCGCGACTTGTCAACGTTCTTGAAGACGTGGTTCGTTCAACTCTCAAAGTTCGAAGACAAGAAGCTGCGCTCCGGAGACCGGCCTGTTTGGTTCACTAGAGTACACCGCGACCAGACGCTGATTGGAGGCATTCAGAAGTCCTTGACCACCAAACAGTTGATCAATCTGCTGCAATGGGTTGAGGAACAGCAGGAACTTCGTCCAGCTGCCGTCTTCATTTTCCTCAACACCCTCGCGTCTGCAGTGACCAAGGATGACTATGCCGATGCGGTTGGAAGCAAGCTTGCCGACATTGCGTTGAATGTCGGGTCGGCCAGTAAGACACCGTCGGATATTCGCTCTTTGCGTTGGAAAATCATCTCCAAGACTGTTTCCTGGCTAGATTACGACCAGGCCACTGCTCTCTGGGACAAGGTCCAGACAGATCTCACAAAGTCATTACAAAAGGCTAAATTTGATGACGAAGATACGTGCGAGGCCCTGGAGTGCGCATATAACTTCTGGCTATCAATGCATCCCGACGGCCGCGACCAGACTGCTCTTTCTTCCCTGCTTACAAGCTTCATCGAGAGACTCTTGAAGAAGGTCAAGGTGGAAGACCTGCAGGGTCTCTTTGATTCTCGAGATTTTGCGGTTTCAGATACCTCCGATGTCCCCAAATTTTGCGCAGAGTTCCCCCTCGCAGCATCGAGACTCGTGGCTCTTCTTGTGAAGTCCTCGGGCGGTCTGCCCGACTTCTTGCAACGCGCCTTGGGTGACGAGAGCTTTCCCAAGGGCAGCGAGGTGAAGCTCGGGAATGTCCTTCACGCGGTTACTTCAAACGAGAACAACCTCTGCAAAAAGAAGCTTACAGCCGAGGTGGTGGACCACGCCATCGACATAATCAGCAAGGCCTCAAGTCAATCTTCTCCCTGGGCCGAGCAGCGGAGCAGAACCGTCATGATTGAGCTGTCAAGAATCCCCGACGAATCCATCACAAGACAACAGAGAGAGCGCCTCATGGAAGTCTTGGTTCCAAAAGTACACGCGGCCGGCGAATTGGATCCATCAGACTGGCATCTGGTTTTGGGATTCTTGATCAAGCTTATGTCAAGGCCAACCTTTTACCATAAAATGTCATTCTCCGACCTTCAGAAGATTGCCGACTCACTGGCAAAAGTCTGCGCAGAGAGCGACTCGAGGACGGCCCTCGGCCTGTCCCAGCTCGTATCACAGTTGGCGACACTAACTGTACGACAAATGAACGATCACCAGGAATGGCGCACGCAATACTTCGACAAGATCCCCGCTCTTCTGAAGGGCCTAGATGGTGATGCCTCCTCTGTGCAAATGACTCTGTTGAAGGCACTGCTCTCCGTTGTGCTACCTGAAGCTGGTTCTGATGACAAAGTTGCCGTCATCGACAGCGATCAAGTAGCTTCGGCCTTAGGAAGCCTCATTCAAGACACTTTGAGTGACTTTTCCAAGGCCTCGCGAAAGCAAAAGGTCAAGGGAGACATCGTCAACCGCGCCCTGATTGCACTCGACGCAGCTGAAGCTTTGCCAAAGCCCGCTGTCATGGGGCTCAAGATCAAGGTGTCTCAGTTGGAAGAGGTGAGCCAGCAGGCGATCACAAATGGATACTTCAGCGGATGGAAGCTTCAGGCGTTCCTCATCAAGTATTTCCCGTCAAAGGTGGCAGGTGTTCGGCCGACCTCCTTCGGCCAACTCTTCAGCAGCGCGCTGCCCACACCCCTGCCGAGCGGCGCAGTACCCGATCCCCTTTTTGACTTCAACCGACAATCCATATTGGAAGACATCATTGACGCTGGCGTCGCCGGTCTTGATTACAATGGCAAGGTCCAGTATGTGCAGAATCTTCTCGAGGGCGTTGAGGCAGACGCTGCTCCGGCAGCAGGTTCAACTTCCGAAGGCCAGCTCCTTGCCATCCGCCGTGTGGTTACCCAGATGACTGGTAAGTTTGCTCCAATCTTCATATCGGATCCGATGCTAACCAAAGTCATAGAATCCCCTGTCGGTCTTGATAAATCAAAGGCCTTTGACTTGGCCACGGCCCACGGCAAACTGATCAGGTACCTGGCCCAGGCCGGAACTGTGCGCGAATTCGTCAGGACCGCCGAAGTCCTCCAGCAACTGCTCGACATCAAGTCGGACTCCATGACCCAGTGGAACATTGAGACCACACTCAGCACAGTGGCAGCAATCGTCTCCAATGATCAAGGCAACCTCCTCACCGCATCGCCGAGCGTGTACCAGTGGCTCTGCAAGCTGATGGAGGTCATCATCAAGAAGCACCGTCTCCGCCTCGAGGGCCACTACCACATCCTCGTCACCACCCTCGAAGCCCTCCTCAGCGCCCTCGACCCACCCTCATCGTCCACGCAGCAACGAGCCAAGCACGCCACGCAATTCACGCGCCTCGTAACCCTCGTGTGCGAGCCCGCCGCCGCCGCCGTCTCCCGCGTGCAGCACCTGAGCGCCCTCGACTCGGCGACCGACGCGGCGAAGAGGTCTGCCGGCCGGCACATGTACCTCGTCCTCATGGCGTACGTCAAGCTGCAGCTGGACGTGGACGTGCCGCGCGAGGTCCGAGAGGCGTTGGAGCCCGGCATGAATTCTGTGTTTGATATTACACCGCTAGAGGTGAGGAAGATTCTTAACGATAGCATGGATGCTAGTGGCAGGGCTATTTTGAGGGAGATGTACAAGAGGTATACCAAGTTTGGCAAGTGGAGTGGTGTGTAAGAGGAGGAAGGCGGATTCGCGGAGGCTGTGTGCAAGATACCCTAGACATAATGCAACATTTTGGTCAAAGACCATGTATACCTTTGATTCCAGCCTACCCGGCTGTGCTGTCTGCCACTACTTGCTCTGGTGAGACCTTGGCCCTGAACCTGACCTAAGTCCGTATCGTGCCCTGGTTTTGTGCTGCGGGTCCCTTCTGTGAAGTGATATTGAGGAGAGTGGATGCTCTATGGAATAAACATTCACGAATACACCAGAACCACCCCGCTCTTGCATCTATAGGGCAGAAATCTTTGGATGGAAGGCATGAGCACCGTCTGAAGCGTCCATGACCTAGTGGTGGAAAGTGATTAACGCGTAATCGGGTCTTGCAAAGGTTGCGAGTTCGAATTTGGTGGTCCTACATAATGCCACAGACAGCTTATTTTTTTGGTGTGAATGAATCTTCTGCGGCTTTCTATATTGATGAGATGGCTTGGAACAAGCATTATGAGCATAGGACTTTTTAATTGCATGGAAGTTCTTATGTAAGAGTTGTGATGACGAGAGATGCGAACTATCATGATGTCCCTTTTCTTCCTTTGAAGGCAATGATACGCAACACATTGTGGGTGGGCGAAGATGCGGATGAAGGAACGCGGCTATCATTGTAGTTGAGGTGTGACTAGCGTGTTGATGTCGCACGTTTCCACCATCGCCCACTGAATCCATCATAATCATGATTCTCAAGAGCTTCCTCAAAGGTCATCGAGTTTCGCTGGTACAAGGCAGACCAGGCTACAAGTATCCTCGCTGGCTTCGCTCGAAAAGGTATAACATAAGGGGCTCCAGGGTTCTGAAGAGGTGTTACGCAGGCGCCGGACCGGTCTGATTGTCATTGCTAGAGGCCCGCCAAATGTGAGCGATACATCTTCAGTGCGTTGGTGCATCCATGTTGAACGGGTTTTGTTTAGAGGCGATGGCAGTATTTGCGACGTCCTTGGGGTATAGGCGCGGACGTCATTTCTTCTCGGTCTTGAGGACCTTACTCTCCGGCCTGACTCCCTGATGAACAAGACTGAGGTAGTGAAGAGCAAGCAGAGTCATGACTTTGAATATTATCAGCAGGTTATGCAGTGATATACCAGACCTCTGTCAAGGACTTCAGGTTCAATAGGTAATTCCTAGCCGATTGAATGAAGAGCAGCAACCGGGCCAAGTCTGAAAGGTCAGGATTCCGCCGCAAATGCCTAACGAAGGGGGGATGGAGGTAAGGGACCCCAATCTAGGCCTTCTTATCACTGCCGCTGGCTTGAGGGATGGCAACACAGAGTTTTTGAATCAACGTAGAGCGACTTTTTGTAAGTATTTAATTTCAGTGAAGCGAATGACTAGTTGATACACAGCTTCCACTTGTGAAACCATGACGAGCTCCAGCCCGTCATTTCTTGAGGAAGATCTGCACACCGCTATGGAATTGAGGGGCGAGATGCAGAGTTGACTTCTATCCGGCGTTGCTAATCTATAGCGTGGCTGTATTCGATGCTGTATGGAGGCATTCTCTCGGCACTCAGTTCCGAAGTTGTAGCTCCGCCCAGAGGCGGGTGACATATTTCGAGAGAATATGTGAGATGCTCTCGGGAATGTTTCGAGGAGTGCGTTTCACGGCAAGGGTCTTTTGATTCCCAAGCGTCGTGTAAATTTGATCCATTTCCCGGGTGTTGTCTTGCTCTGAGTGAGGTTGTGTAAGTCATTCACGAGCTTTACGTATAAACTATTGGCAAGGCACTCAGTAGCATGTAGTTCCATGGGTTTTCCAGTTCCTCAAGAGTAGATGACATAATGTCCAAGGTAGGGATGGAATCCAAAGTTCTGCATTATATCCATGGTGAGATGGTCGTCTAGTCGTTTCCGATAAATAGTGGTAGAAGCATGCTTCAAGTTTCTTGCTTGCGGTTAGACTTGCGTCTGGTTGTTGATGAAGATATCCTAGGAGCAATTATTATGATAATCCTACCAGACCTTCTTCGGCATCTGCGCCTCATCGAAGATTATACTGGCCCAGCCAGATTCGCGTTTAACCGGGGACGAACATCTTTAGTCTCGAACGTTCGAGATCGAATGTAGATGAAGAAGAAATTTGTTTGACTCGCAGATTCTCAAACAGCTTCCTGTAGTCGCCTAAGGAGCTAGATGGCTGTGCGCGTCTTGCTGGTAGGTGGCAAACCATATTCAGGCCATTCCAATGACATAGGGGCCATCTCTGTCTTTTCTTCTAAATCGCTGTGTGATTCCCCTGCGAATACGAGAAAGGTATCGAGAGAAGACTCCGGTTGGCCACTTCGAATCATTAGTAGTAAGCCATGTAACTGGCGTCGAGCATCCTCCTCAGCAAGTGGCACAGGGTGAGGTCCAGATTTTGAGTGACGACGGCAGTTGGCTGTGATTCCAGTAATTGTAGCCCCCATGGCCAACTACGGTGGTTATCGAACTGGATGCAAAGGCCACAGGCGGCCTATTTATGGATTGATTCAAGCGCGATAGCAGAGGAGAGCATACAGATGGAACACGTACGTGACCCGCAGTGGAGCTCCGGTGACTATTCCTACCTTCTGCCTCCTTCCGCCGACATACCCTCGCTCCAAATGAGGTTGGCTGTGGCTAGAGTTCTTCCAGCATGCTCGTGGAAAGAGATGCAGCATGCCGTCAGGCTCGCTCGTCATGCCCTTGGCCTACACATCTTGCACAGGCGTGTATATAATTATATCCTTATGCTTGACAAGGTAGATCAAGGGCGTGGAGGTCCGTGGTTTGGGCGAGATATTCTGGGAAGAGGTAGCATGCTTGGTATTGTGGTGCGGTTGGAAAAGGATGTTTTCCTCAGTTAAAGGAGGTGAGGAGGAAACAGAGAAGATGCGTTAAACTTCTGGCTATTGGTTCTTCTAATTCTTCTAGGCGCGTAAGCGCGTAAAAAAGCTCACCCTTTGCAAATATCTCTGTACGTGAAAATTTCTGGCTATGACGGACTCTTATACCCATTTCTCGAGATAAACCTATGCTGGAGAACAACTCCTAGGACAGGGGATGCCCGAGGTTTGCTTCGACTACCCTAAGTCCGATTCGACCTTAAGAGTATCGTTATAGTAGCCAAGTATGCAGTCTTGTTCGGGTTGGGTACTATACAAGAGAGAATATGGCAATGGGCCCTTGGTCTGTAACTATGATTGCGGCGTCAACATGGCTGATAGACAAACAAGAAAATCCAATCAGCACAATGGACTTGGAGAGCGGAATCATTGACGTGGAACTCCATTATTTCAAGTCCCATCTCGTCTTGGATATATAATGTTAATTCAGCATATTTCGGTATCCTATATATCGCGCTCAGCCCTCAAGTGGCCAGTCATCTGCTATTCTATCTTTTGATAGCTACTGTCCCTCCCTCCCCATCAACTCATAAAAAATGACCGAGAAGATCGTTGCTCGGCTTCGTCATTACTAGCCTAGCCAGTTAAGTTCAGTTCAGTCGTCTGATCAACCGCAACGCCGCCCAGATGCCTAGATGCACGTTCATGTCCCAAATGCTTTCGAGAGCTTGTTGATCGAAGTTCTTTTTGTGTCCGTCGTCACAACCGTCTAGTAAATGCCTTGCGTTCTATATTGGAAAGTGTCGTAGCTAGAGAGGCACATTAGTATGAGAAGTTGCGTGGAAAGATAATTCAAACTCACAGCCGTGTGTAGTAACTGCCCAGGGACTTGCCAATCAGGTCAGTCTCCACGAACTGCTCCGCTTCATCCGCACTCAGCTGCAGCTGGAAGCGTTGGCGAAGATTGTGTGTGGCCTGGACAACTCCCGCCGAGTAACATGGCATCTTTGAGTCACGCCCCATCATGGCCACCAAGTCGATGATGTTATCCGCAGACCGCCGCAGAGCTGAGAATGAGTTAGCAATGTCTTTCCCAAGGGCTTAACGCAGGACTTACCTTGGAAAGCCTGCTTGCAGAGCTTCTTGTAGTCTTCGTAATCATCGGACCCGATGCCACCGAGAACCTCGATATACTCCTGTGTAAGCTTGAAAGGTGCCGCCTCAAAACCAACAGAGCCTGGCGAGTTGGACAACATGAAACCAAAATCGATGTGGACGATATGACCTTCGCTGTCGATCAGAACGTTGCCGTTATGTCTATCCTTCAGCTGTAGGATGTATGAGATCATGCTGTAAGCGGCCAGTGAGCGCTTGAAGGCATCCACTCCCGCTTTGAAAGGCTCGCTATCCGGAGCACCGAACGCTTTCACAAAGTGATCTCTCAGCGTGGCAAACCGGCGTTTCTGACCGGGACTTGTCTCCAATGACAATGTCAGACTTCTCTTGATGGAATGCAGTGATACACCATTGGTGATGGTCTCAATCAGACCGGAAGACTCGCCGGTAACGAGAATCCGCATAAGCTTGACCCAGACGTTGACCTTTGCGTCAACCCAAATCTTGTGGCAGACGTCAATGAGCTGGCAAGCGAATGCCTCCTGACGCAAGTCGGCTCCAGTTTTGACAATGACACTGACCAAGTCCCAGTTCTTCATCCATCCATACGGTGACGTCTTGCGGATGCGCTCTTTTTTCGCTTGCCATGCCTCACCGAAGACAGCCGCGCTAGGATCGTCGCGGTCGCCCTTGCTCTGAATACCACCAGTCTTGATATCATTCTCCATTCTCGCAAGTCCTGCGCCAGCATTAGGCCCCGGTTCAACGGGGGATTCACTCTCGGCTTCAGGTATCTCGGTAGCTGCAACAGCATTCGCTTGTACCGTAGAGGCTTTGGCAATGATGGTGTCAAAGGTCGGGCCTTGCTCGTCCATGTCGAAGCTCTGTTCTTCCAGACTTTGCATGCTCGCAATAATCTTGGCTCTGATTGCCTGTACTTCATGTCGCGGTCGCTTGCCGCTCGTAGCTTCAAGCTGAGCCAACATCTGCGAAGCGGTGCGCATGTGCGTAGCCAGCGCGGAGAAATCTGGTTGATCA